AAGTTCTTTAATAGTCACTTACCTACCTATAAGGTTTACGATCTATATGAGCCTTACTATCTATACATTAGATAGTTCTCTAAGTCCTCCGAACAAAATTAAATATTATACGAGTCTTCTTCTTTATTATCTTAGTCTTCTTATTCTTAGTAATTTTCTACGTCTTAACGTTTAAAACTACTATAATTAATTATAAATAATTATAATTAAGATAAATAAATATTACTTAGTTTTATAAGAGTATAATTTAAAGTCTTACTTTAAAATATATAATACTTATATACTATACTAAAGCTAGTTACGAACGATTATAAGATAAAATAATTAACTACTATAATAAATTTCGACGATTAAGCGATAAATTTAAAAATAATCTAAATATTCCGTATATTTTATATAGACTAAAGTAAGATTAGCGTAAAATATCGTAATATTTTATAATTATTTATCTTTATCGTTTAACTATTAACAATATAATTAGTTATTATCGAGAAAGGAGGCTATGGGCCGTTTCCTTTGAATAGCGAAATTCAAATGGGACGCCCTTTCTAGAAAGGCATGGTCGGCGTTGCGATCAACACCCTAAAGGGCACTGTGCCTTTGCTCTTTATCTCGACTTAGGGCTTCGATAGTTAGCCTTAGGTCGCTCGAGGCTATGCCCAGAAAGACCTCTTCCCAGTCTTGCTTGGCTCCAGATTGCGAACAGTGTCTGTGATATATATATATATAAGACCAGCTTGCCAAAACCCTATTTTAACACGACCGCATGTTAAACGTTACGACCGTTCAATATGTAACCTAATGCCAAGGGCAAGATGGTAGGCACGTGCACAATCGTGAACCATAATTCTACGAGGTTTCTCGGATGGTATATAGCCGTTTTACTATACGGGAAGTCCGTTTCTCAGGATTGGCCCCGCTTGACTTTGAACATGGCTGCAAAGTATAGAGGCTTTGAATTCCAAGCCGAGTGGCGAATCCTTCGGAACTCTCGGCACAGTAGGTTTGTCCCTAAACTGTCCGATTTGTCCGATTGTTCGCGAGTTTGGTGGCATCTGCCCCTCCATTGCCCCTCCACTTGAACCCACGTGACACTTTTTGTAACTAAGCACTTTCTCGCTCTGCCGTTCTGTTTCCTGTGATCCAAATTTTTCCTCTGATTTACTCAACACACCAAGCTCATTTCAACCGTTACTTGCTCATTGTCGCTCCACGGTACGAGTCGTCCAGGCGGGAGGCAATCATGGAGCGTCTCGCGCAGGGTATCTTATGGTCAAGGTATTTTACCGCAGCAGTGCATGCCGGGTGTTCGCCTTGCACTCTATGGCCGATCTGCTTATAGGACAATCGGAGCACAGAGTGCAGGGATGATCTGAGAAATACCGGAGAACTTGATCTGGATAATACCAGCGAAAGGACATGCTTTTTGATTCTTGCGCTCCTAGCACCTTCAGCTCGGGAACCTGAGTTCACTGACTTTTGCAGACAACTACTTCGACATGTCGACTGACAAGATTACCTTCCTCACGAACTGGTATTCTCGTCGCTTTCCATCATTGAATAAGTGGCTAACTATTGGAGGCACGCTACGCCGTACCATGCTCCCCTCTACCTGGCACAAGCGAAGGGCTTCTTCAACGATGAAGACATCAAAGTTGCGCTCCTCGAGCCAAATGACCCTAGCGTAAGCCTCATTGTCGTTAAATTAGCTTAGCTAATTGGAACTCAGGACGTGACCGAAATAATCGGGACCGGAAAAGTCGACCTGGGATTTAAAGCGATGATCCATACTCTTGCTGTGTGCCCCCAACTACTCGTTATGCTGACTGTGCTGATAATTCCCAAGGCAAAGGCCCGCGATTTCCCAGTCCTCTCCATCGGCAGCCTTTTGGATGAACCTTTCACTGGTGTGGTGTATCTCAAGGAGTCTGGCATTACCTCGAACTTCCATACTTTGAAGGGGAAGCGGATCGGTTACGTGGGGGAGTTTGGCAAGATTCAGATCGACGAGCTCGCCTCCCACTACGGAATGTCTCCCTCTGATTACACTGCCATGCGATGCGGTATGAATGTCTCCAAGGCAATAATTAAGGGTGAAATCGATGCGGGGATTGGTCTGGAGAATGTTCAAATGGTTGAGCTTGAGGAGTGGCTTTCGAAACAGGGTCGATCCAAGACCGACGTGCAGATGCTTCGTATCGACGAACTCGCTGAGCTTGGTTGCTGCTGCTTCTGCTCTATCCTTTACATCGGTAACGAGACGTTCATACAAAAGAACCCCGAGAAGGTGAAGGCATTTCTCCGCGCGGTCAAGAAGGCTACTGACTTCGTGCTGGCTGAACCTGAGAAAGCTTGGGAGGAGTATATTGACTTCAAGCCAACTATGGCGACCGAACTGAACCGAAAGATATTTGAGCGAAGCTTTGCCTACTTCTCTCGAGATCTGAAGAACGTTCAGCGTGATTGGGAGAAGGTCACAAGGTACGGCAAGAGGCTGGGTGTGTTGGATCCAAGCTTTCAGCCTAATTATAGCAATCAATTTCTGGAATGGGCCCTTGATGCTGAGTCCAACGACCCATCAGGCGATCAGAGAAAGATGGCTCTGTTACAGAATGAAGTGGCCCTTAATGGTGGTTTCCATCGCCTCGGAGGTCTCAAGACAAAGGTCGCGACTTGAGTCTTTCAATTCGAAGTCATCTCGTCGGTACCTGGCACGGCTTGTCTGAAATAGCCAGAACACACAAGAATTTGGGCACTCATTGAATGAGATTCATGGGAAACGGCCGAAGGCCACTTTTCTCGAAATGACTAATCATGTTGTCAAGATGACTTGTGGAAATACACCCTCGGGGGGGACCACTCTACCTTTTCTCTTTATCCCGACTTAAGGCTTCGATAGCTAGCTTTGGGCTGCTCGACGTCATGCCCGTGAAGACATCTTCCAGTCTTGCTTGGCTCTAGATTAGAACTGCTCCTTGTCCGTATATATAAGACCAGCTTACCAAAACCCCAACACACCTGCATGTTGATTGAAAATGTTTGAAATGAGCATGAAGCCATGCCACCAGCCGTAGCGACTTAAAGTGATAGTACCTCCGTCCAATCATCAGCCACTGTCCTCTAAGTCGAATGCTTCACGCTAAAAGGAGAAATTAATAGCCACTCTTATATGTTTAGGCGGACAGAGCATCTCTCATTCGCTCGATAATGGCTGGGTCGTCTGGAAGCTCGATTCTATCTGAATGGGCCTCCTGGAAATACCTTTAGCTTCCATCATATCCATACTAAATGATTTCGGAAATGGTCAGTATTTATGTGAACTTTGATGTCCCTCGGATGAGAATATGGCTTATGCACCTAGATATACCATGAAATTCTTCAACATGGTAATGGAGAAGTCCTATTGTACACAGAATGAGAGTGAATCTATCTGCTTGATTGTGTTCTGTCCCCCTGGCTATTTAGAGAGACTCTATCTATTTATATACATTTTGGCCTGTGCTTAGAAGGCCGTTTCTAAAACCTCCTATTCCGTCGCTATGCTCTCGCAGATCTACGAGAACAACGGTGTGGCGTAATTAGTAAAATAGCTAGCGTCTTAGATGGTTTATCACAGTAACTATCTTAAGACTCTATTAACACACTTCCCTAGGTAGTTCTATTAAGCGATACTAAGGTTATTCACGTTATAGAAGTACCTATTAGGAATTTCTTAGTAAGTAGATAGAGTCTAACGATAAGCGTATATATAAGTTATCCCTATAGTATATAGTCGATACTATACACGACTTAAAGTATAAGAGAGAAAAGAGTGCGCCTCCTATACGGGAAGTATACTAGTAATAAGAATACACTCCCTAAGTCGTATCTCTTAGCTAGTGATTTAATTATAAGCGTTCGTTCTTTCGATGTTTAGCCGAATCCGTAACACTACTCTTCTCTTTAAGCTTCTCGTCCCCGAGAAGCTATAAGTAGTAGGCTCGTTACACTCACCTCGTATACTCTTTAAGTTATATAGTACGAAGCGTACTTCTTAATATTCGTATATATTCGTTCTTAGCGATACTTAGCTAAATATCTATAGTTATAGCCTTATATACGTAGCCTTATATATATAGTCTCGTATATCTTAGTCTTATTTTTCTTTATATATATCGTAAATAATAATAATAGTAAATATTATAAATAAACTTATTTATAATATAATAATAATAAAAAGATAATAGTCTAAGAATAATAGTATATCTTCATTACTCGTAAGTCGTATATATTTAAATAGCGAGTAAAGAATATTAGTAAATAATATATTCACTTCTTCTATAGTATAAATATTTCGTTATAGCTATTAATCTTCGATCTTTTCTTTTCTCGAACTACTTAATTTATTTTCTCTATAAGCGCTTTTCGTTTATTATTTATATACGTTCTATTTATATTAATACATTATATTATAGTTAATTCGCGCTATTAAATTTTTATTTTTTAATTTACTTTATTTAAACTCTTCATTAGTAAATCTTATACATTATATATACTTATTATATATTAATCGCTTTTAATATTGTTTACTATTATTATCTCTACTACTTTCTTTACTTCCGATCTTAGCGCTATTACTAGTAACTCCGATAATAAATATCGTTCTCTTAGTAAAGATAAATATTATATATATCTTCGCTATTATATTATATATAGTATACTAACCGTTTATTAGCTTATCGCTTCTCATCGTCTTCTTATTCTCGTAAGAAGATTCGTAAGAACTCTCGTCTAAAGGCGCTAAACTTACTTTATCGTCGCTACTTACGCCGCTTATATAGCGGCGACAATAAAGATAAGCTCACTCCGAGCGAGGCGCTCGTTTACGAGATATCTACGAATAGTACGCGTTACTTTCGCTACTTCTTTAATAATCGTAGTGACGCTACGAATTATATTTCTATACGTTTCGCTATCTTTTAACTATTATTATACTAACTCTCTACGAGATTTCTACTTCTTATTTACGCCGTATCTAAAAGCTACTCGCCGTTAATAAGATCTACGATTATAGCGGCCTCGGCGCCCCGATATCTATAAAGATTTAAGACCTCGTCGACGTTCTATCGCGCGAGATATAGACGGTCGTCGCTCGCGCTACTCACCTCGTCCTCGGTCTCTTTACTATTAACGACGTACGCGTAATTAACGTTACTCTAGGTAGCTCTAAAGTAATAAACGTATCGCCTACAATCTAAATAAATCTACTTCTCGAGACGATTTATATTAGCGTTAATATACTTCGTTAATATATAAGTATACTTCTCTCTTACGTATTATATACTAATAATAATAGTAAAACTTCGAGCTCTATAAGTAGAGCGATAAAATCTTTAGTGTCTCGTTCTTAAAGAAGAACGACGACGATAAGAAGAAAGAGAGCGCTAATTAACCGACGCGCATTATTAAATAGTTAGATAAGATACGAATTAGTATTACTCTTAGGCCGCGTATAAGTTATACGCGTATCGCTTATAGCTCTTTATAGTTAAAAAATTAAGAAGAACTTAGACTTTAGAAATTATAATTATCGTCGTAGACTTCTCTACGATATATTAGTGTATCGCTACGAGAGATAATATAGAATCGTAGCTCTCTTAGAGTAATTAGATAGTACTATATTAATAAGCGCTTATAAGCGTAATATGTCTCGCTTACGAGAATTAAATAATTACTTCTATCTTTTTTCTTTTCTTATACTTACTTTAAATCGTTCGATTTCGCGCTATATATTCTTTAAGTACTCTTTTAGCTTTTAGAAATCGTACGCCTTTAAGAATCTTTTTTATTTTATATAGAATTAAGTCTTATCTCGAAGTTAACGTTCCTTAAGTACTTTCTTAATCTTCTATTCTTTTTCTTTCTTAATGTTTATAGACGGCGATAAGACGACTTTAGATCGCGCGCGATACGTCTATAATAAAGAGATATAAAAGATATAGTAAAGCCGATTATACTTCTTTAGTAGATTAAGTCGATAAGTATTTACGCTAATTCTCTTAATAATCTTAAAAGAGTCTAGAAATTAATTCGTAAGCTTCTTACTTACGCGTAGCGTACGAATATACTTTATTATAAGAAGAATTTATAATCTAATTACGAACTCTATAGTCTTTCGTTACTTATTATAGTTCTTAGTTATTTAATTAGCGTTACGCTTAGTTATTACGTATATCTCGCTCGCTATACTAAGTAATTTCGCTAAGACTTCGACTCTCTCTCTCGCGACTATATTCTCGAAGTTTTTCGTTTACTTCTCGCTTACGATATTTATACGCGTCTCCGACGAGAATCTATATATAATACTAAACGGTGCTTCTTCCGTAGTAATATTTAATATAGTATTTATTATATACTTAGCGCTAGCTAATAACTTAATTTAATTTAACTATTAATAGTTAACGTAGTAGCGAAGATAGTATTCTAGAATTTAATTTATTCGCTTCGTCTATTTATTAGTCTAAGAATAAAAGGCGATTAAGAAAAGTCTACGAGTCGTAAGGTATAAGTAGAGAGTTCCTTAGTAGACTAACGTAAACGTCGAATCTTTATTACTAACGATTAATCTCGGTACTCTATACTTAATAACTATCTTTTTTTAGTACTACTCGACCTAGATCTTAGGCGTTTATTATACTACGATATAGTATTAAGTTTACTATTTTCGAGTATTTATTTATAATAACTAATATCGAATCGTATACGTCTCACTTATATAACGACGGCGAAAGATCTACAATAAAGTTTATTGAGATATTTTACTACGGCTCTTCTAGCTATAGTAGAGACTCGAGCTATCCGTAGAACTTATACCGTAGAATCTTTATTCTTTAATAAATATTATAAATAGCGATATATACGTCTATATCGCGCCTTATCTACGGTTATTAATAGTGTCGTATAATAGTATTAGTTATACGTCGACGTTCGAAATATTCTTCTTATTATAGGTTATTATAGTTTACTCTTATAATTTCTTAACGAGTAGTAAAATCACGAGATATATATACTACGTCGTCTCGTCGTACGAGACCCGTACTATTAACGCTCTAGGCCCCCTTAAATATACTACGTATAATTCGGCCCTCGGACGTCGTTAATCACTAAGCCTCCGTACACCATTTATTTAGTACTTAGAGCTTCTTTATATAAGTAATAAGCTCGTCGCTACGTTAGCGTACGTTAGCCGACTACTATTTATCTCCGTATAGCTTAATATTTAGAGCTTTAGTATTAAGTAGCGTTACGATATTATATACACTTTTAATAAAGTTTCTACTACTCTAAATCTATACTCATACATCGGCAAATTTTCCCGCGCGACTCTAAGAGCCCTGGGCTGCCCTAGGCTATCAAGGTAAGTCTACGTCTTACGCAGCCCATGAGATCGCTGGGCTCGCTGGGCTACTCTAAAAGAGCTCATAGGCTACTCTAAGAGGGCCCTAGACTAATATAATAATTTATAACTTTACGAATATATAATTATATTAATCGTTTAAACTAATATTAACTAAAATTACTATATTATACTAAAATTAAAGTAGATATATATAAAATATAAGATTTTAAACTAAATCTTAAATTATTAACTTAATAGCGTTAGTATTTATTAAGATAAAGACTTAGCGAGTTATTCGC